TGAGGCGCAACCGTTAATTAGAGAATTTATGCCGAGCGCCGTCTTGTCAACTTGTCAACTTGTTTCGGTTGCTTGAGGCATTGTTGCAATATTTCATGCATATTTTATACGACGTTAGAACCGTTTGCGCCCGCAGTCATTTTCTCGATTTTATTGAGGCAAACGAGTCTCGCCTTATGGCATTTAATAAACACATATGCGAACTTATTTTGTATAGTATTCCCGCGCTGTTTTAATGCCATTAACGAATTTTGTTGAAAAGCTGTGCAGCTATTAATCATAGGAAATGAATTTTTATTTAACATTTCGTCGGTTTTCTTTTTTGTTTAGTTGATTTATGAGTAGTCTGAAATCGCAGCGTGTGGACTGTTGCTAGAGGTTCTACTATATTGAATGAGTTTCATGGGAAGCATTTAAAATGAATGAATTTGCAAGTGTAATTGAGCAATTTGCGCATTGTTGATTTTGAAGCTTTTACAGTTTCTTTAAAATATACTTTTTGGATGATGATAAATAAATTAGAAATTTCCTTTTTTTCTGTGACCTTTTTAATTTGTTATTTAAGTTAACTTAAGGTTGGCCTTGATTTAAAATAAGTCAAAGGCGGAACCTAATGCCAATACAAGATTTAGTGCGATAATTTTCGATAAGCTCACAAATCACTTGTGTGTGTTATGCTTGGATATTTGTTAGAGTTCCCGTTGGTAATAAGAAGTTTAACCAGCAATACAAAATCCTGGAGAGGTTACCTTATTTCTGTTCAATTAAAAATAAATTATCACAAACCATTTGCAATTATCCAAAACGCTGAGTGCTACATTTTTATTGGCTTAAATGCAAGCAGCACTTCCATTTGTTTTATCAGTGAACTAGATTTAAATATTTAACGATCTCTAGGCAAATATTTGAACAACAATTGCAGGGCAAGTGGCAGCTAATGCAAAAGATGTAAATCTATTTGGCACAGCTGATAAACATATAATACCCATATATAGAGGGCGTTATAAACTGCCCAGATAGTCTATGCACGCTATTTAAAATGTCACGTTGTTTGGAAAGTAGAATCTCAAAAAGCTATTACCCCACCCACTGATGGGATATACGAATACTAGATGCGGACCGGTTATGGATCGTTTGATTTGACGTGACTGAAACAGCTTTGACTGGAATCCATTTGCATGGTAGTTAGCACACGACCCGGACCATTCTCCGTGCTGATTTCCAATTACACCTATAATTTATGCTCAATCTGCCACTTATTTACATTTTTCGACTTTGCTCCCATTTGAAATTAAGTGTAGGTCTAGTTGAACTAATTAGTTTTGACTCTCTGGGCACCACCACCTCACACCCTTCCACGCTTTTTAATATTTTGCTCCGCCCCCCGACCTCAGGCCCGCATGTTGTAAAATGTTTACACTGCTATCTGTCAAATCAACTGTCAACCCGAAGTGCCATCATCATTGTAGCCCCAGTATCTGTGTGAGTTCGTTTGAGTTACTGTGAGCTTGTGTGTGTCTGTAAGTGTATCTGGTTGTGGCGCGTTTGTGGTTCATGCTCGGCTGCGTCGCAGTCTTCGGGTCTTCAACTGCCATTGCCGCCGCCTTTTGTCAAGTGGGAAAACTTTTAGTAATTAAATTGTAATTAGGGATGCATCCGCCGCTCTGTGCCATTTGTGCGTTCGAATACGGCTGTCTGTGCCAATTGTCTTGCCGTTTCATCAAGCTACCATTTCAGCGGCAGCCCATGCTGATCACCCTTCGACCGCACATGCCCTGTAAAAGGGAAAACCCAAAAATACCGACCAGCTTTCTATCCCATCTCGAGAAAGTGTTTCAATTTAGTTTATCAAGCAGTCGTAGTTTTTGGCTTAATCTATCTTTAACAAAAGTTTTACGTTTTGCATTGTTTTTATCTTGTAAACAATGTTGAAAATCTGATGACTTCGTTATAAAGGTGGAATTATCTTTTTAAGTGAAAAAAGCTTATAAATATAATACCAATAACAAGAACACGAATAATGTGATCTATAACAAAGAGATTTTCAACAGTGTAAAAAAATTTTGAATTGAAAACTCATCACACATCCTCACTATCCACAACCTGCGAAAGGGTATCCCATTGTACCCGTAGTTGACGACACCTAATGACAGGTCCATTGTTTAAATAGCTGCAACTTTTCAGCCATTTTCATTGTAATTATTTTGTATGTGTATGGGCTGCTCTCCAGTTTATCTGCTAGCAATCGTCATGAGCTGTGAGCAGGCCAAAGTGGAGTTACGACGGTGTGGCAAAGGGAGTTGTCGCTGCTCCTAATTAGCAGGCGGAAGTGCCTCAGATCTTCTCCCAACCGGCCGGTTACGGCTGTTGGCCGGCCCAGCAAATTGCGCAGTCCGAGGAATAGAAGGCGACGTGGATCCCCTTCGCACCGGATGCTGTCTTGGAAAAATACAATTTTCGCAAACTGCGGCGCTTAAGTGCACCTGGGCGATGATCATAATCATCCCGAGCGGCACTCAATGCCAGTAGCAGTTGATCAACCGCTCAACCGATCAAATCAGCTGATGCTGATTAGATGGCTCTGTGGCAATCCGGAGTGGAACACGAACCAATTGCCTGGTGTACGTGCGACGCGTAAATGCAATTTCAGTAGCTGATGAACAAAGCAGACCATGGGTCCTCTGATGGATTGTGGCACTCCGGAAAAATAAGGTAACTAATGTGCTCTAAATATTTCCGAAAGGTCTATAAACAGATTTCTTTTTCTTTATCAAGCCAAAAAATTCCCTATATGGTCGTAATAAAGAAATAAATATTTATTAAAATTCAGTTTTCAATTCAATTTATGAAATTTGTTTTTAAAATTTCTGGCAATAAAACTTTTGAAAAATTATAAATTTAGCTGAACTTTCACAGCAAAACGTTCATATAACTACAAATGTTATTTTATTAAAAATAAATAGGAAATAGCTTTCCTTATTTTTAAAAATTTGGGCTCAAAGATTTTTCAAAGACAAGGCTTTGCCGAAATATTTGTTTGCATACATTTTACCGAAAGTAAAGCTTCTTGCTAACTCTAGAGAATGGGTTTTTGTTTTTAGTGTGAGATCAATTGGTTCGCGTCTGCGACTTAACGAGAAATCAACGCCGCTAAGCAAATCATGCCGACCGATACGCATGCGCCACAGCCATCAGCCTGAGACTAAGTCTGATCCTGAGGTGGAGCACCATCATATCATCGGTCTGAAGTTTTCGACTGGGTCTGGGTCTGGGAAAGGCAATTGCCATCAAAGGCGATGCCGAGCGAACAGCCAGACGGCCTGAAATTGATTTAGCCACCTCGACCGGCCTGACTGACCTCACTACTGTTTTTACGCCTTAAGCAGAATCTCATCAAGACGTAATGACAACCATTGATCAATCGCTGGCCGGGCTAATGGTTATGATGAGTCTCGTTGGGAAATCAGTTTATATTAAAACGTAATTTGATTGCGGCTGTATGCACAGAGAAAATTATGAAGTAATTTGTACTGGCGGTCCTATAAGGGATAATTTCTAAGATGTTATCTGTCAAAGGCCGCGTTGAGAATAATTTATGAGAAAAATTTGTATTTGGATTTTGCTGCCAGAAATTTTCTAAATTGATTAATATGGGGCAGTCTATGCACTACGTCTTCATAGTTTAATCTATTTTCGTCATACAAGAAAACCCAAAAAGGACAACAGGGGAGTCATTCCGCTGAACTGAGAGGGGGGTATCCCATGTGATGATTGCATAATACGTAATGTATTCAACAAATTAAATTATTGCTGCAAGTTATAATTAAAATAATAATTTCATATTTTTTTGCTAATACACTTTTCTTAGTTCTCTGCTCTATAATCACCCGTTACCTATAGGTTAAAAGGGTATATTATATTCCTTGAAAAGTATGTAACAATCCGTTTATCTGTCCGTATGAACGCCAGGATCTCAAGACTTAAAAACTAAAAACACTCTTAAGCACAACAAATTCTATGGCATCCATTTTTTGGAGCGAACACAATTTCAAAATATTTACATTTTAATAATTTTAAGAATGTACACAAGTACTACGACGCAAGGCTTGATTGGCTTAAGTCCTAAGTTATTGCTAAAAACTATAACTCAACAAAAAATGACCATGTAATGTCATTTAAGATATTTATAGAAATCCTTTTTATAAACCATTATCTTAATATACTCACTCTATTTTTAAATCTTTAATGTTTATTTGATGTTCAGATATTTATAAAACACATAAAAAGCATTAGCCATAAAATAAGTTCATAAACCGACTATATATCGATTTTTTACGTAAACGTTTGAAAACATTGAAGATAGGTCAATTTCAAATTAATGCTTTAGTTTTTATTGAATCAAAAATGTATTTTCGAAATAACATACACATATAACTCGAGATATGAGTGTATATATGTTGAAAAACAATGAAGTTACTTCTATTTTTCTTTTAATTTTAGTCATTTAATTTTTTATAAAGTTTTGAAAATCTAATAAATGGCTATATCGGTAAAACAATTTTTTCACTTATTTTATTCGATTGTTCCTATGGCAGCTACATGTTGACCGATTTTTTGAAAAAATAAAGCCGAAATTATGTTTTTACACATAAATAAAACAAAATATTTTGTGTTAAAATGAAGATTATTTTCAAAGTGATTATGAAACGAAAGCAAAAAGAAACACGGTTAGAGCCGTCAATGCCTGCAACATCGAAATGCCTACAGGCATATTTACTTTTAAATTGGTTAAAGGAGTAAGGGTTATCTGATAGTTGGGGCATCTATTCTTTATTAAATATTTACCTATTTTTAGCTAACATATATTGTGGCTTAGATTTTGGGAAGTCTTTGAGTATAAAAATAAGATTCTTAAGGTGCGCAATTATAAATCATGCATGACTTTTCACTGTGTGTTCACTATTTATACAGAATATTCTAACTTCTGCGCAGATACTAACCTTGCTCCTCATCAAAGTTCTTGGTTGACAACTGGAACAGGGCGTCCAAAGGAGTGTCCCCATTTGGTTTTCCTGCGCCCGTTGGCTGATCTTCCCACGACTTCACCTCGACTTCTTCACTGGCCTCTTGGACACCTTGTTTTACCACCTGTCTGGGACTGCAGAATTCGGTGCTGCCATTGCTACTACTGGATCGCTGCGAACGCTCTGAACTGCCGTCCTCGGAGGCAATAATCGCGGGATTCAAGGTCATGTGGCGGAGAAGGTGGGCCTGGGCCTGGAAATGTTCCTGCAGCTGGCGCTGGTAGTCCCAGGCCAATCGCTGCTCGTAATTGTGCAGCAGGGCAGGCGATAAGAACGGATTTAGAGCAGCCGGCGGAGGACAATTCTGAACCACGGGGATCTGCAATCGCTCGTTGATCAGCTTTAGTGGAGCAGAAACTCCTGGTAACACCTTGGGAACTGTACTCTCCCGTTTCTTCCCCAGATCCTCTTCGAGTTCCCGTCCCAGGATATCGGCTATGGAAAAGCTTTTGATCCGGACGGGTGATGATCTTTGCCGTCCATTTTCCAGGTTTTCACTCCTCAAAAGTCGCAAACGTTTCAAATTCAAGCACCTCATGGGCGGCGGGCTGGGGGAACCCACCGATATCTCGGAGTTAGCGGGACTGGGCGTTCTTTGTGGCATCTTTAGGTGGTTCGGACCTTATTAGCACATCCTGGCGATATCTGCAGTGTATCTTAACTCCTCAGTAAAGCGATTAAAAACGCGTCGGCAAAAACACGCGGCTGTGACAACGTTGGCACAACGTGCAACACAAACACCAACAACGAAAATGGCTCGTGGCCAGAATTTGTTGCTAATGCTGCTCGGGTGTTTCTCACCCGCTCTCTTTGGCGCTCTGCTTTTTGGCCAACTCTCTCGACCGGTTTTGGATCCAATGACGTCATTGTCTCGCGCAGCTGCGCAACTTATCTCGCTCTGGCAAAATGGGCGGGACAGTCTGAAAGAAAGAGGGAGAGAGCAGACTATCGAACCAATCGTAGTTGGTCAGGAGCATTTCGGCCCCCTTTAACCCACCGAAAGTCGCTGTCAACGTACGAACGTCATCAATTTGTACAATTTGACATGCGCTCTCTCTCCCTACCTTCCATTCTCTTCCACCCTATCTCTCTCTCCTTCTCACTGGGGATTTCTTTCCTTTTCTCACCGCTTGCCAGGCGGCTGGCTGCGTTAATTATCGTAATTGCTGGCTCTCCCGCTTTTTCACAGCTCTCTTTTAGCCCATTCAATTGTCATCAATAATGATGTCTCGTTGTACCGTTGGCTTTAGCTCCTCATCTATTTTTCGCTGAAAAAGCAAGCCTCCTTGAATCGGGGTTTTGGAAACCTCTGGCGCACTGCGAAAAATATTGGTTATTCCATGATGAAGTAAACCTGTTTTAGATTTCTATTTCGAACGCACATATCCTTAACAGAAGTCAAAAAAGATTATTGATTTAAACACCATTGAATTTCTAGTTCACTATCGGACTTGAAAATAACCTTAACTAAATGTGTCCATCAGTTGATCTTATTTTCTTCGCAATAATGATTACACAGGTTTTTAAAATTTCAACGCGTGGCATTTCCATATTACTCTATAAATCCCCACAACTTTAATCGTTTGATTCCAAATGGAATATACGCGGATAAGATAGTAGTTTCAAATATGGAAATATATATAATATTAATTCCATTATATTCTAAACAAGAGAGAACGCTATAGTCGGGTGCCCCGACTATCAGATACCCGTTACTCAAGTAAAGGGAGTGCGAGGGAGATGGAGATAGAAACTTTGATCACGCATAACTTTTTAACGAATGGTCCGATTTGAAAAATTTCTTCTACATTTCGATAGGTATTGATAAACACAATAAAACTGCATTTTTACTTTTCCGAAATATTTAAATTTTTATGCGATTTTATATATGCGATTGTGGGCGTTAAAGGGGGCGTGGCACCTTTTTGAAACAAACTTGCGCTGCGTAGGAACTCCTAGAATCTACATGCAAAATGCCAATCTTCTAGCTTTTATAGTTTCCGAGATCTCAGCGTTCATACGGACGGACTGACGGACATGGCTATATCGACTCGGCTAGTGACCCTGATCAAGAATATATATACTTTATAGGGTCGGAAACGCTTCCTTCTACCTGTTACATACTTTTGCACGAATACAATATACCCTTTTACTCTACGAGTAACGGGTATAATCATAAATTTCATTTCTTTTTTCTGAATTGTGGATCTAGTGACGACTGATAGTTCGACTGTACATTAAATAATAAAAAATCATTTATAACTTAAAATCGTTGTTGTCTCTTCAAAATTTCATTTAACTGAAGTTATTTGCTCTCAGTGCATTCTCTTGGCACACATTCGTTCGTCTTGCCATTTCTACCGTTTTCCACTTCCTAACTGAACTCAATGCATTTTCAAATTGATTGCAACTTTGGTCTGCTTGTTGTATCACGTATGCGCCCTGTATGTACTGCGCTTTGTTTGTTTGTCAGTGTCACTTTTTTATTCAATTTCGCTCCGCTGTTTGTCCGGGTTTTCTATTCGTTTCTCGCTTTTTCTTGCATTTTGCATGCAAACGTCTATTTAACTGCAATGCGCCCTTTACCGGTGGAAATGTGACTGGGGTGCCGGCTAAGTGAACTGATGATACTGCCGAGCTGTAATCGATAACAGGTTCAACCTCACTCAGCCTTCCAAAAACCGAGTTTAATTGATTTTTTTAAATGGAAAAGGTACTTCTTCCTAAAACAAGAAAGGAAACAAACTTCGGCAAGCCGAAGTTTATATACCCTTGCGCTTATTACAAAACGACTACATTTCGATTTCTATGCCTATATTTATAAATACAAAAAAAACAAAGAGAGAACGCTATAGTCGGGTGCCCCGACTATCAGATACCCGTTACTCAGGTAAAGGGAGTGCGAGGGAGATGGAGATAGAAACTTTGATCACGCATAACTTTTTAACGAATGGTCCGATTTGAAAAATTTCTTCTACATTTCGATAGGTATTGATAAACACAATAAAACTGCATTTTTACTTTTCCGAAATATTTAAATTTTTAAAATCGTATATAAGCGATTGTGGGCGTTAAGGGGGACGTGGCACCATTTTGAAACAAACTTGCGCTGCGTAGGAACTTCTAAAATCTACATGCAAAATGCCAATCTTCTAGCTTTTATAGTTTCCGAGATCTCAGCGTTCATACGGACAGACAGACGGACAGACAGACGGACAGACGGACAGACGGACATGGCTATATCAACTCAGGAGGTGATCCTGATCAAGAATATATATACTTTATAGGGTCGGAAACGCTTCCTTCTAGCTGTTACATACTTTTGCACGAATACAATATACCCTTTTACTCTACGAGTAACGGGTATAACTATGTCGATTTTGCGCTGCATTTTGCCATCGTTTCTATGGCAACTATATGATATTGTTGTACAATTTTGACAAAACTATATCTCAAAGGAATGTTTTTATTAATAGAAAAACAGCAACATAATTTTTTTTTAATTTTTTATTTTGGATTTTTATATGCGGTATTTAATTAAAATCGTAGTTCCATAGAACTTAAATATTACCAAATCCCAAAAAAAAAAAAAAAAATCAGAAACAACAAAGTTATATAAAAAAAATTTTTTTTCGATTGTTCCTATGGGAGCTATATGATATAGTCGTCCGATCCGGCTCGTTCCACCTTATATACAACCTGCAATAGAAAGAAACATTTTGGTAAAGTTTTAAGCCTTAAAACTGAGGGACTAGTTTGCGTAGAAACGGACGGACAGACAGACGGACGAACGGAGAGTCGGACAGTTGGACAGACGGACGGACGGATAGACTTACCTGGTGATGCAGATCAAGAATATATATACTTTATAAGGTCGAAAATGTCTCCTTCACCGCGTTACACACTTTTGACTAAACTTATAATACCCTCTGCAAGGTTGTAATTATAACGGCACTAGACTGATGCATTTTCATAAGAGGCCTTACCCGAATGTTCGATTAATGTCTGCACTTGACTGACTTGCCGGACCAGAATGCATTGATCGCGCATTTCGCTTAGTCTTGACAATCGGCTGCCCTTGTGCACATCGCTATCGCTTTCATATTCAAAATCAATTATAAAACGGCTCTTAATTGGGCGCCTCAATAGACGCGACACGCCCTGTCAATCACAATTAGCCAGCGCCCCTAGCAAACCGCTCAACCCGGCCCTCAAATTCATCGCCCCCCAAGCGATTCGACACACCTCTAATTCTGCAAATTCATAAGCCAAATGTATCGGCTCTATATCCTTTCATTAGTCAGCCCAAGATGGCGAACCCGTGTTCATTAAAACCTCATAAATAGCTAAAGTGTTTATTGTCGCATCTGGCAAGCCCAAATCCCCGAAGAGGGCTCTTCACCGCGGTCCTCGTTTTTGTGTACATTGTCATCGCCAGGGCGGGGATGGACAGGGGGTGAACAGGGGTGATCTGGGGTACCGCAGCAGGAGTCAGTTGGTAATAAAGTCATTGCTGTTGTGTCAAATTCGTCACGCCCCTCGGCGGATACAAGAGTGGCTGCTGGCAATGCATTAATGTCGCCTTTTGTTTTGCCGATCTTCACTCGAGATCGAGCTCCGTTCATGTGGCTGACGATGATGAAGTTGTGCCAGCCAGTTGTCAACAATCAACGCTCCAAAACCGAACCCAACTGCATGCCAATTATAGCCAGCTCGCAGCTATCCTCAACTTCAACCTCAACCTTTCAGCTGCGCCCGACAGAAATCTGTGACGAATGCGCTTATGGCCAAAGCGATCCTCGCCTTATCATCGAGTAATCTTCGACACTTGGGACAGCTGTCAGCGTTTTGCCAACTCATTATGCAGATTTTGACCACAAATGCGACACGTAAATGTCGAAAACAATTTACTGAACGCGACGAACTACATTTGTCAATGCGGGCAGCAACGGAGATCGATAAACTTAAATTGTTGGGCGAACCCGCAAAAAAGCACTGGGAAAAAATATTATATCATTTATCACACGATTTTTTAATAAATAAAATTATATCTTATTCTCCCATCCGTTGAATTTATCAATTTTAGCAGCTACGAATAATTTTAGTAAGTCTAGTTTCAATTTAAACTAATTTTTAAAATTTTGATTAAATATGTAGAGGTATATCGATTTTTTTTGTCAAGCTTCAGATTATAGATTAGCAGTACACAGAGAAATATTCAATCTAAAATGAAAAAATTTGTCTTCAAATCAAAACAAAATGTAGCCAAACGTAAGATGAGATCGGTTGGTGTCATGAATCAATGTAAAATGGTATTAAACTTACACATTCTGGGTTAAAAACAAGAAAGGCCATGCATTTCGGAAAGTCAAAATCTGTATACCCATACAGGTGTTATACAAATTAAATATTCTATATTTGAATATTTTTGTATATATGCTTAATCTCGTCGTTTTACCGATAAAATCGATCGTTGTTATGGTAAGTGTATGACCCTTATTATCTTCCGATTTTTATTAAATTAAAAATTGTTTAAGATGACTATATCTCGCATATGAGCAGATGTTAATAAAAAAAACGAAATATAATATTATTTTCCCATTTTTCTCGATTATACTTATCTGGGCTACATAATATAAAAAAGATTCATAAAAATGCTGATAAAAAATATATATACTTTATAGGCTCGGAAATGTCTCCTTCAATGCGTTGCACTAAAATTATATTACCTTC